TTCTAGACTTTTATCCATATGAATACAGAGTGGTCTCTCTGTCTCCACTCCCAGCAAAACTGATGTGCCTGCAGCAGTTAGTGCCCCTTCAAGTGGATACAATTCCAATCAAGTTAGTTTTGACCATACAGTAAATGATGATTTCAGATTGCCATTCTACTATTCATCACTCTTGATGATTTTGTTTGATTATCTTCTTCATCCATTGTTTTCTTTCAGTTCTCTGCAAATTTGAGCATTGATGGACTCAAGGGCATAGAAAAGATTGTTATAGATTATTTGGAACAGCCGTCCTCACTGTAAGTTGTTTAATATGCTGTTAATCATAACACTGATCATGCTGTTCATAGCTTCTCTTTGGTTGACAAGTGGTATGCTTTCCCAACGACGGTCTAGTTTTCTAGAGTTCAAACTAACTTGACTATGTAACTTGAAGATATATTTGGGTTTGGTTTACTCTCCATCTCAACTTGAATGATGCCCTGTTCATCTTAAATTCAGATTCTCTTAAAATGAAAGCGCTTGAAATCCCTGATTCTTTGTAATTTTAGTTGTATGTATTTTGTCGTTTTTCTCGTTTTGTTCTTCAAAAGCATACAATAGAAGGGAGTAACATTACCTTTGGGTCACACTTATTTTTGAGGGTTAAACAGTATCTAATTGGTAGCCGCAAGAATATAGGGCTTACCTGAGTTTGGGTAACTTCTTTACTGTGATCAACTTGTGAAGCTAGAAAATTACACTTGTCATTCATTCACTCATACATACATATGCATACAGAGACACATTCACATTCACATTCACACACAGCCCAAATCCTCTGAGCAGTCGGTGAAAATAACATGATTTATCTATCTTAATTCTGCAATGAAGACAGAATGCTCTGAGAGGTCAGCAGCTTTGAAACTACTACCTGCGTGTGACCTCTATATATGAACTTCTGGAAACTGCTGGCTTAACCTGCTGAAGGCATTTTATTTGACGTTACTGCCATTTCTTTAAACCAAATATTTACTGAAAAAAGACAGTATGTTTAATAAAAGCAGAATGTTTTCCCCAAACTATTATCTGGAAAATGTTATATGATAAAAACCATCATCGGAATAATTTTAGTGCTTAATTGGTTATGCATATTTCTAGCATTTAATATATAAGGTTGACTGGAATTGTGTTTTGGTACGGAAATCTAAAATAAAAACAATGTCCTCTGTTTGTAGGAGTAGGTGGTATTTGTTAGTGGAGGGAGTCACAATAGTTATACCCTTTAGAGAGCAACACATCAAAATATGGCAAATTTTACATCAAACTAGTAAAAGGAGCAAGATTTCCATGATTTATTTGGAAATCAAGATCGATATCATTTCCTAGAGAGTTAAAACACAAGCACCCCAGTTTTGCCTTTTGTGGAGCACGTAGTCTGCTGCCGTGCAATTTTGCAGTCAACTGCTTCTTAATACCATCCTGTAATATTGTAAAAGATACCTTTTGAAGATGCTGCATTCATCTTTGTTTGAGTTGATCATGTTCCCCAACTCTAGATTGCAAAACTGACTACATTTCCATGTTCAGTGCACAGGAGAAAGGGATACACCGGAATGAAATTGCTCAACACCTTAGAGTTCCTTTGGAGAAAATCAAGTATATCTCTTTATCCATCACACAGAAAGATAAAGGACAATTTTGTTTCTCATTTTCATTGCATGCAGGATTGTAACAACCTCCTACTTTATAACCTAAATCATTTTTTTAATCTTGATAGGGAAGCAATAGAATCTCTTGAATCGGAAGGGCTGGTTTACTCTACCATTGATGAATGTCACTTCAAGTCGACAAGTGCTTAAAACTTTGCTTGCTTACATGCTCAGGGAATCAGAGGAAAGATGATAGTTAGCTTGACCTCATCAAATATATCAAGTTTTAGGAACTGATTTCTGTCATTGCAGTCCAGCTTTTTGAATGGAAGTCGATTTAAGGACAAACCTCCTTTAAGAGTATTTTTACTTTTATTTGTCAAGAGTCATGGATATGTTGCCACTCCTGTTTTGGTGTAAAGAATTGTCCATGGAAGCAGATCTTTAGTCCTACAAATATCTCCAATGGAATGGTGCTTTTGGCAGACCAAGTAGTGGAATCACTCAATGTTTACTTTCATTTATTGGTTGAACGATTAGCCAATTCTCTTTTATTGAGAGCATTGGTCAACTGGCCTAAACAATGCAATATCAAAGGAGAGTGCAAAATTGGTTTGTTGAGAAGCAGACACATTCTAATCAGATTTGAATTAATTGAAGACTTTGTAAATATGAGGTCTAAAAACTCATACTTCATCACTGATAAGGATGGGACATCACTAAGAAGTTCAAAGTTGATGAAGAGACTACCTAAGCTATGACATGGATTTCTTTCCCTCATCCTTTGGCCAACTTTTTTCTGGGAAGAAATCATTCTTTTCATTAGTTGCTGCCTGTGGAAAGCCTATTCACATGGATATGGCTACAACAAATAAGACTAGCCCTAGTCGTGCAAGGGTTAAAGATCAGGTTAATCTAAGGAGAGTTACCCAAGTTTGTTGAACTAGAATAGAGGATACCAACTCCGGGGCTTCAAGAATTGAAAGAATTAAAGTGGTGTTTATGATATGCTACCTGAAGTAGTTTTGCCTTTTGTGAAAATTTAGTTGAGTTGGATGACCGTTTGACCTTCGTAGAGGAGTATGTTGCTATTCTAGCCAGAGATGTGCGACGGTTGCATTCGAGAGTCATTCCAATGGTTAAGGTTTATTGAAAGCATTGTCCAGTTGAAGAATGAATGAATTATATTAGGATATACTTTATTTGCTAAAATATTGACATTTTAATACTTTTAATACTATTATTTTAAAGTGTATATGTTTTCAATAATTATGACTAGTTAACTAATTTTTAAAAATGTGATATGTTTAACAAAAGAAATGATTTACTAATCGTCCTTAGAGTGGTGGTGTCCCCTCCTCCTCCGCTTCTCCACATACATGCAATATCTTCTCAACACATTCTCTTTTATCCCATTAATTATTACCCATTATTATTACTCTAACTCCTTTTCCCTTTATCTTTTTTTTTTTTAATTCCTTTTTGTCACATAACTCTTTCTTTTTTCCTTTTATAAAGTTTCTCTTTCTTTGTTGAAGATACAGACAAGAAAGGCCGCTAGTCATTTCATAATATCCTTCCACTTGCTTTCATCTCCATTATTTCTTTACACATTCATGCACTGTAAAGTGTAAACCCATCAATTTTTATTTTTTTTAGGATTTATTTTGATTTGTTATGGAATTTGAAAAAATATTTTTTAAAAAAGTTTTAATGATTCTAAACTAAAGTTTGCTAAGTGGAAAATTGAAATTAAGATATTGTCAAAAACGAAATTTAGAGGTGTCATTTTTTAAACAGATGAAAAGGAAAAGTAGATCATTATTTTTTAAAGTACTTTATTTTGGAAGATTCAACTTTATTTAGTGATCAGAAGTACTTTATAATGTCATTAGTTACCTTCGTGATAGATATTAAGTGAAATGAAGTTCAAGTAATTGTTGACATGAGGATGAATTAGGGTTTCAACTTCATGTTTTAAATATATTAAATTTAATGTTTTATTAAATATATTAGGTAGCAAGGATAAAATAGATATAAAGAGTAAAATAATCTCTTAATTTTTTAAACTGTACAAGTATGGTTGAATATTTATTTTTAATTTAATAAATAAGTAAAAATGAACGGACGTAGAAAGTATTAGATAATAAAATAATAATGTTATCTACAATTAATCTTCTAATTAATTAGTAGTAAATCTTGTTCATAGTTTTAGTTTATCTTTCAAACGTGAATCAATATATAATCTCTAAAGGCCAAACACATACACAACCCCTCAAACTTGCCATCATTTTTCATTTTCGCACTCCAACTTAACCTTGTTCCATTTTAACCCTTAAACTAAAACTAATTTTTATGATTTTTTATTTATTTATGTTCTTCAATTGCAATTTTTTATTTTAAAAAAATAGACATGCGTCTGTTAATTTTCGTAAAAAAATTAAACATTCAATTAAATTTTTCAAACAATAATATTATTTTTTGAGATTTCTCTGTATTTTTGCATGAAAGTAAATTGACGAAAGTTCTTCGATTTTCTTTCTTAAACATTCAATTAAATTAAATAACACTACTTATTTATTATTTCTTGTCATCTAGGCTATCTAAATTTAACGCAAATACTCACGTTTTATTTTTAATATAAATCAATACGAATAAAAAAACTCATATTCAATACGAGTAAAAAAGACTCTTGTTCATTTCTAATAACACTACTAAAAATGTTAAAACTCATCTGACTTTAATTTGTTAGATTATCGGTGATTTTTAAGAAAGAAAACCAACACAATTTCGTCGGTTATTTTTCACATAAAAATACATAAAACTCTTAAAAATAAATTATTTTTAAAAAAAAATTATTTTTTGTTATTTTTTATTTTTTTTAACTAAAATTAACCAATACATGTCGATTTAAAGTAAAAAGTTGCAATTGAAGAATATATATAAAAATAAAGAAATCATAAAAATAGTATTTCGTGTTAAAATGATACATAAAAAATGGAGTTTAAGGGTTAAAATGGAACAATGCTAAGTTGAAGTGCCAAAATGAAAAATAAGGACAAGTTAGAGGGGTTGTATATGTGTTTGGCCATCTCTAAACGTAATACTGATCATCATCAAATTTCAAATTAAATAAGTATGAAGAGAAATTATTAGTAATATGTTTCAACCATTTTTATCCCCACAACACAAGCGAGACGCCTCGATTCTCGTGCATACTTATCTCTCTCTCATAGATATCTCTATATTAATGTCTTACTCTTTCACATTTTACATTTAAGCCTCTAATTTCCCCTCTAAAAAAATATCTTGAAGCACCAAGTTTTTAGCACTTGTACGTTTCCCAAAGAAAAAAGAAGCAGAAGCATTTCAAGTTCACCAACGATAATGGATATGAATTCTTCTTCTTGTGAGAAGTGGCTTGGCTTCTCACTTTCCAATATCAACAACTTGCCACCTTCTACTACTAATTCTTCACAACTCTCCATCTTCCAAGCTTTCAACTCCAACCCTAATAGTATTATTCTCTTCTTCCTTTTCTCTTTACATGTATACACAGGCGTGGAGCTAGGTTTACGAGTTTGTGGTTCACAAATTAAGATATATATATATATATTTATTTGTTTAATTTTTTAGTAAAAATATAGAATCTACAGAAAAGCTTATTGAGTTTGTCTGAACCTACGAACCATCACTTAGTTTCGCCTCCGCCTCTGCATGTATGTAGTTTTCCATATAAAAAAATTAATTAATGATGATATACATATTTTATAGGTTGGGATGTGAGGCAAAATGAAAATGGTGCACCAAAGCTTGAGAATTTTTTGGGATCTTCTTATTGTGAGAGTAATACAACAACTAGTTGTGAATATGGGTCAGAGTTGAAGAGGATAGCAGCTACTTTTCTACCTACCTTTACTGATGATCACAAAGACAAGTTGCCTCTAATTGTCACTCAACCTAAGAAGCCACTCGAATCATTTGGACAACGCACTTCTATTTACAGAGGTGTTACTAGGTGAACATTATCATTCATTTTTATTTTTATTTTTTTGAATTAACATATGTTATTATTTTTATCTATACCTTTGTTGTTTTTGTGTGTGTTTTAGACATAGATGGACTGGAAGATATGAAGCTCATTTGTGGGATAATAGTTGTAGAAGAGAAGGACAAAGTAGAAAAGGGAGACAAGGTATCTACTTTTAGGGTTTCTCTCCTTGCAAATTAAAACTTTTTTTTAAGTAAATCAATAGTGTTTTCAGTTATCCTCGTAATTATTTTTATTTGGTTTCAATATGGAAGCAATATATGTCATGATTCCAGGAGTCTATCACGTATAAACTTTAAGGGCCTAAGTAATTAACACTAGTTAGTTTTTGTTGATTTACGTTATTTTATGAGATCTGTACGTAGTTCGATTTACATAATTTTTCCCAGGAATTGTTGTAAGCTTGAATGTGTAGAATTTGAATAGGATGTTAGTAACAAATGTGATATACTATAATATGAAATGCATAATAATGAGGAATATGGACTAATTTTGTTTTGTTTCTATGTGAATGTACCATCAAATGATTGTGGCCCTGGACGAATTAAATCATCATTGCCGAATTTCAGTTTACTTAGGTAAGTATTGATTATCCAAAATCTTTTTTTTTTACAATTACTATCTACTTGGTACAAGATTCTTTTTGCAATGAATATGTACGTGTTCAAACCTTTAGATTCTCTTTGGATTCTTATTTTCTAAAACTTTTTACCCCTTCGGTTCAATTTATCACATTTCAGATTTCGAGATTCAAACAAATTTATTTTTTATCGTAAACTTTTCATATATTTTTTAAATATTTTGAATTGTCAATTATTGTCACTTATACTATTTTTTATATAGTTTACAAATATATAAATTTCATTCAAAAAAATTGAAAATTTCATACGTAAATTTTTGATCAAACTTAAACTTTCTGATTCTCGAAAAATGAAATGTGTTACATAAATTGATACACGCGGAAGTAGAAAATTAAGATTTGTATGTTCTCATCTTTTTATGATTAGGTGGTTATGATAAAGAAGAGAAAGCAGCTAAAGCTTATGATCTTGCTGCCCTCAAGTATTGGGGTCCGACCACTACCACTAACTTTCCGGTACTAATTAATTTAAAACACAAATTGAACAAAAAAAAGAGGGAATTATTAATTATTAATTTTTTTCTTTTATTTTATCTATACATTGAGATATAAAATTCTAGTGGTGTGTGTTTAAAAGGTATCAAACTATGAGAGGGAGCTTGAAGAAATGAAGAACATGACAAGACAGGAATTTGTTGCATCTCTTAGAAGGTTAAAACTCTTAATTATGTTACTTTTTTAATAATATGTCTGCTAAATAAGATTTAGCAATAAATCTTCATAGAATTTGCCATCGGTAATTCTTAGTTTTGTGGTGGTGTTATATTTTCATCTAAATAAATGCTTTTATCGTCTCATTATATATATTGGACCAAATAATGCGTAATCTTATGATATACTCTTTGTTATTATAGGAAAAGTAGTGGATTTTCAAGAGGAGCTTCTATCTATAGAGGTGTCACAAGGTCAGGAATATTATTTTAATAATATACATTACTTATTTTGGTAATTTTATTTTATTTTTGGTTTTCACTTCCTTCGTTCAACAATAGTTGTCCATACTATAAATAGTTGTCCAACAATAGTTGTCTAATTTTAAAAATTAAGAGATACATTTATCTTTTGTGTTCATTTTACTCTTGCTGTTAAATACTCTATTATTTATCATCTAACATATTTTTCAAAGCATTATATTTAATAAAGTCAAAGCATACCTATTATTTATATAATTTCTTAAGGGGTATGTCAAGTCAATAATTGACAACTATTATTGGACAGAGAAAGTAAAAGCCTAACTAAATTTGAATTTACGTAGAAAATTTTCACATTGATAGTAAAATATTTCCTAAAGTCTAACAAAAGACGATTCTCTACCTTATGGAACTAACATAACATTTTTTTATTTTATTTTAGACACCACCAACATGGTAGATGGCAAGCAAGAATCGGTAGAGTGGCTGGAAACAAAGATCTCTATCTTGGAACTTTTAGTGAGTTTTTTTCTTCTTTAATTCATTAGTAATATTATATATCCATTTTTGTTTTTTTCCCCACCAAATTAAATTAAATGAATTGAACATGGAAAAATGTCGGAACTAAAATTATTCAACAACACTCACTGCATTGCTGCTATTTGTTAACATTTGCGGTGGATTCCCTAAAACATCTCTCTGAATTAGGTTAAAGGTTTGACAATAAATGAGATACGTGGCTCTTTTTATTTGGTCTTATAAGCGGCACAACATCAAAATTTTTTTGTTTTTATATTCTTGTTGCCCATGGTTTTTGTTGATGGTATTTTTCATAAATAATAATAAATATGCTTTTACTTTGAATCCCTTTCCTATCTTCACATCATAGAAGAATCTTTAAAATTTTAAAAAATAATATTTTTAGGGTCTGTTTAGCCCTGCGATGTAAAATCATGATGTAAATTAGTTAATGTTTTGTTTGGACATGTAATTTGAACTTTTTTTTGTTATATGTGTAAAAATTTCATAAGTTTGTAAAATATTAAAATTATCTTAATTTTTTATATATTTTTATCAAATAATTACAAGTTTATAAAATTACATAATACACCGTTATAAAAATGTTCTTAAAAATATATACAATATTTATTGATTGATCAATTAGCTCTAATTCAATAAAAAAATATTAAATATAAGTTATGGTGTACTAGTCTTTAATGTGTAGTACGAACAATCTTCTCACGTAACTTGTGTTTTTCGTTCATATGATTGAAAAGACGAACCAACATTGTTACTTGAGTCATTTATTGATCTGGTAAATATATTTGATAAAAAATAATAAATTTAGTAAATATAAATGGTAAATTAAAAATTGATTTGAAGCAATAATTTAACATACCACAAAGAATTACGTGCTCATTTGAATCATGGGACAATTAATGAAAATATGATGCAGAACCAAAATGGGTAAGCACGTGGAATTATCTTTTTTAAATTTTCTCTTCAACGTGGTGGGGTGTCAGTATTTACTTTCATCATGATCATACTGATTTTGTTATTATTATTATTATTATTATTATTTTGCGATAATGTTTTATCGATAGCCTTATTATAAAATTGCGATAATTAATTAAATACAGGCACCCAAGAGGAAGCAGCAGAGGCTTATGATATCGCTGCAATCAAATTCAGAGGAATAAATGCAGTAACAAATTTCGACATTAGTCGTTACGATGTTAAAAGTATTGCTAGTAGCAATCTCCCCGTTGGAGGAATGAGTAACAAATCCAAAAGCTCATCGGATGAAAGTACTAAAAATGTCGAAAATCGACCCAACGATATTTCCTCTGCTCCTAATTTCCCATCACAGAATACGAGTATGGTCAACTTAGGTTTCGGATTGCCTATAAAGCAAGATGCATCCGATTTCTGGTCAAGCCTTGGATACAATAACGATCAAAACAAAAATGGTTCGTTATTTCAGGGTACAACTATGAATGCACAAGGTACTACATTATTCAGCAATGAAGTCAACAATAGTAATGTCATGTTCAATGAACAAGGGTACTATAATCATGATCAACAGCAACAAAGTGGTGGTTCTAGTAGTGAAATAAGTATGGCTTTAAATAGCAATATTGCCACTACAACTACTACTATTGATAGCTCTAGTTTTGATAATTGGATGACACCTTCTCTTCATTCATTCCAAAGTAGTGCAAAGAATAACCTAGCACCATTTCATACCCCAATATTTGGCATGGAATAATGGTAAGCTATGTTGCTCGGATTTTTCAAAAAATTTAACAGGTGTTGGATTCGTCAAAAATAATGTGTTTTTGAAGAAGGTAGAGTCTGCGCAACTAAGATGACAAGTGTAGGGAAATGAAGGGACAAGTTCTGAATTTACCCTTTTTTGTGTGTTTGAATGGGGTTTTAGTTTGTCACCTACCAGAGGAGAAGCTAAGTGGATTGGTCAAAAAAGTGAAAATTGCTTTTTGCATGGGCAAAGAATGGGACGTACAATCATTTCACAGCAAATAAAGCAAGGGTACTAACTTGAATCTTTTTATTTTTAATCATTAGTTTCTCTTAATTAGTTCATTACCTTATAATTATGTTCTTTTGTTTGTTTGACTGACATGATTTATCTAGTTATTTTATGGCTAGAAAAATCCCTTTTGTACATTCTCATCGTGTACTGTTTTCATTTCAATAAAATTCAGCACATGTATGATATACTCTCTTTTTCTATGAATCTTTTTGGTAAAATACATCAATAGTGCTTCATTTTGATACTTAAATTGTGACATGTCCAATTGAATACTTGAACATGTGATAGAACATAATGAGTGTCCGTAAACACGTACAAAACCATTTCTAAAATAAGATAATAGAAGTACTTTGTTTTGCGATTTTGAGAATCTAGAACAAGCTATAATTCGATTATCTAAATAAAATTTACCACTAAGTTTCACGGGATGTATTGTAGATGGATTTAGCCTATCCTTTTCATTGGAATGACGAGTACTGGATCATACAACAGGTTTTTAAATTCCTGCCCTCTTCATAGCCAATGGTTTTTTAACCCCAACAAGTCAACTTTTTTATGGCTTTAATTAAATTGATGACAAAAAAATCAAAATTTAAGTAGCAAGTTTAAATATGGTTCAGTATAAATGATTTTGAGTTGAATTGTGTCACGATTTAAAATTTTGGAATCGTAGAAACATATATGTAGGCTGATAAGTAATGCTTTCAGATGTTTTGATGATCTCCTCACAAGTGCAGGGACCTGGTCCTCTGCAGAGTATGCTCGTCCAGGGTCATATGCTATACAACTGTAAAGCTGTCTGCGTCAAAAGGTTGGTGAGATGCCAGTGTCCTGAACCAATCACAACGGACGAGGTTGCTTGTATGCTGGACAATAGCTCTTCATAGTTGATATATTCAACATACAAACAACAAATTATTCATTCATTCAAAGAGAGACTTTCAAGCTTCAAAACAGCAGAGACCTGATAGAGTGTTTATTGCTTTTGTACCAGTTGTTACTTTGAGTGCTTGTAATCGTGCTTATATTGTCGGAATCATTTCGTTTGTGATAGAAACGTTTCAAGCTTGTGTGAATCATTGTGAGAACTTAGTTGTGAGTAACTTAGTGTCTTACATCAAAGTCTATATTAATCAGTCAGGATTAGTATAGTGGGCAGTGTTGTATCTGCTTAGGCTCAGTTAAGTAATAGGTGATATTACTTGTGTGGAGATTAGCTGGTTAATCTCATGTTGTACACTGCATTTTACTTTTGCTTGTGAAGATTAGTGAAAGCAGTTTGAAAATTCCTGTGAGACATGTCGTGGTTTTACTCCCTTGAGCAAGGAGGTTTCCACGTAAAGTTGTGTGTACAATTTTTATGTTCAACATTTATTTACATTATGTATTTATTTGCTTTTGTCATTATGAATTGTGCTGAGGACCTGGTCCTATCAGAGCTAAGTGAACGCATATATTCCAACATAGGCCAATTCATTGAATTAATTAAGCAGAAAAAAAAGTAACAACACAAAAATGTATCTATGCTAAGTTGTAAAACTTTGGCACAGCTAGGTCTGAATGTTTCTGTGGTGAAGAAAACTAGTTCAAAAATTTTCTTCAATGAGGGCTTAACTTTGTCTTAGCCCGCCCTTATTACATACTCCCTCCGTTTACTTTTACTTTATTACTTATTTTTAAAATATATTTTCAGTTTTACTTGTCACTTTTAACATGTATCTATATATAATAGGATGTTTACTTTTACCTATCACTTATTTTTAAAATAGATTTTCAGTTTTACTTGTCACTTTTAACATCTATCTATATATAATAGGAGAGAAAAAAACAACATATGTGTCAGTGCCACAATTATTCTTGAAATTTCAATATTTAAAGAATCAATCTTAAAAAAAAATATGATTTAAAAAAAAAAAAAAACACATGTCAGCAATGAAGAGATAATAGATCTTTAGACTCTTTAATATTTGGTTTTAAAATATTAAAAATAATTATCTTTCAAATAATTTATTTTCTAATCTAACTACTTCAAATTTAAAATTTGAATTCAAATTTTAACATGTGTTTGTATGTGAGTAAGAGACGTTTTAATACATTTTTAAAAAATGAAAAATTACCTATTTACACGCCATTATTTATCATATTCTCCATTTTTTCCTACCATTTAAAAATATTAATTTTTTTTTAAATTTTTTATCCAAACTCCAACTGCCTGGATACATTATTCCTCTCCATTCCAAACCCACGTTTCCCCCCCTAATTTAACTCCTTCAATCTTTCCCTATTTTCACTTCCATTATCAAATCAGTTATCTCCTTCATCTTAATTTGAATTTCAAAATGTTTCTCTCTAGTCAATCAATCTCAAATCTATCAATATGTAGTTTCATCTTCTTCACTTTATTATTATTCGTTTTTTCTAAATATAATTTTTCATCTATTTTATTGATACATATGGATACTCCTTTGTCTAGTATTGGTACACCTAACACTAATTGAATCTTTGATTCTGATAATTCTAAATGGCCCGAAAACAAATCTAAGAGCTTACATAACCCCATAACAATGGCAAATCAAAGTTTAGAGAGGCAAAAGTAAAGAAGGATGTATGATCTTAGGCGTATTTATATGCCTAAGTTGTCAATATTTTCCCATGAATTGATTGAAGTAACGAATGATCTTGAGTCTATTAGCTAGATTTCGTTATACTTGCGATATTGTGCACTAAAACATGTGATTAGAGGTTTCAGGAACTCTCAATGAGATTGGAGTCAAATTGAAAGAAAAGATGCAAGGATATGCTGAAAAGAAGCTAAGGCTGAAGGCCCCAGGGCCATGCGCACTGCTAGGCGCGAGGCGCCAAGGGCCAACATTTAGAGAGGCCTCTCAAGCGTTCTGAGAGGCGCGACGCGCCAAGGCCCAACATTTTGGGGCCTTTCTCAGGCGCTCTGAGAGGCTCGACGCGCCAGGGTGGAAACCTTAGAGGTGAAGTTTGGGCGTAATGCTAGGCGCGACACGCCAACAAGATCCCGATTTTTCCAGCTTAAAAGTGTTAAAAAAGGATTCCTAATTGTAATAGACTTTGGCTCTAATTTCCTACTATTATAAATAGACCCTTAGGGCTCCATTGTGGGGGTTCGACTTTTATTGGATGTGCAAGAGCAAGTATTCACGTTTGTAACGGGCTTTGATCTTTTAACTCTTCTATTTTCCAGAAATCGCATGGACAATTGTATTTTGTAGTTTTCTAATAGAATGAGTGGCTAAACGCCTTAGTTCTGGGGCTGTAGCTCCAAATGAATTGTTGATTATTAAAAGCTTGTTGAATTAATTATTAGTTGTCATTATAAGTTACTTATATGTTCTTGTTTAAGTATTTTATGATTGATCACCACAAGATAAATATATTGTCTAAACTTGAATCGGGAGAGGAGAGGTTAGATAGACCAGAGAATATAGAGAGCTTGATCGACCCATTAAGTTGAGGTGATTTGTGTTCAGGAGTGACGCCCGGACGAACAACTCGCTTGGTTACGAAACAAGATGAATTATAAATGCTCGCCAATTAGTCTATTTATCCCCGCTCAACGATGTAGTAGATAGCTAACTGGGGTAGGCGACTAGATGTGTGAACCTGACTCATACAATTAATCCTGTAAATCAGTAACTTGACAACTAAAATTAGTTCTAAGCCAATAAAATGATACATGAGATTCATTGCAGCTGCAACCCTGGAATTGTCTTTTATTTGCTTGAAACATCATCTTAAAGTTGTTCACATTTAGTTATGTTTATTTAGTTCATAATTAGTAGTAGTTAACAATCATCACCATCTCTGAAACAGTTACTTCTATTTTATTTGTGGAGTTAAGTGTTGGATATAAGTTAATCATAAGTCCCTTGAGAACGATAACTCATGTATTTAAGAATCTATATTACTTGAGCAACCACGTACACTTGCGTGTATATTGGGGAGCAATAAGTTTTTGGCACTGCTCGGGGACTTAGAAATTGATTTATATTCGATCTTCTTAAGTCTACAATTAGAATATTCATGTATTAATTACTTGATCTTAGGTTGTTTATTATAGACACTTGATTTTCAGGTCTGGCTCGGAAGGGAGAACTTGTCGAACCTTACAACGAACCCGAAAGAGTTTTAGGCCAGCGCAGAAAAATGAATCAAGGATGTCCAGGAGAATTGGGGTTAGGTGTTCGGGGAAACAATGATGATAATAATCAAGACAACGTGAACAACCAAGAGAACCCGAATAACCATGGAGTACCTCCTGTCGTACCCGCAAGACTAGTCCATGATGTGGTAGTCCCACTCATAGCCAAGTTGGCATCTAGTATTAGGAAACCTCCACCGGGGGGTAGATTTGAACTAAAGTAGGGCATGGTACAACTCCTCCATTCTAATGGGGAATTCACGGGTCTCCCCCACGAGGATCCTCAAATTCACCTTAGGAACTTTATAGATAATACTGATACATACATCCCAACTGGAGTCTCATCGTATTATGTGAGGCTGACGTTATTCCCATACTCATTGTTAGGAGCCGTAATGCGTTGATAAGATTCTGAGCCACCAAACTCCATCACTACTTGGGATTATCTAGCAAAGAAGTTCTTAAGTCGATTCTTCCCATCTAAGAAAACTGCTAAGTTGAGGAGTGAGATAAGCTTTACTCAAAACCAGGGAGAGGACATGTA